TTAGTTATAATAAATGCAGATCAGCAAAATGATTTCTCAACCTGAATACTCCTACATCTCTATTCCTTCATATACATATCTTGGGACTGCCTGCTCCCAAGAGTTCTATCCAACTAACTAGGCCAGGAAGAAAAAGCTGCTATGGATCCCCTCTCCTAAAAATGCCATCTACAGGGATCTTGGAATTGGGTCTTCTTAATCAGTGCCTCCATCCTTTGGAATAGTATCTCCCTGGAGGGTCAAACTTAACTCAGTACTGTTGGGGTTCATAAATGTAAGTAAAATATGGTTATTTCAGCAGCTCTGAACAGTAGCATAGTTAAGGTTTCTTGTCAGAAAACAAGGTTGTTACTTTCTCAATGGTTGCTGGTTTGATGTGCGTATCTGTAGGTGTATACATATACCTGTTTTAATTTTATTTACATATAAGTAGGATTGTAAACTGCTCAGACCTAGTCAGTTATTGGAGCAGCATATAAGCCTGCTAAATAAAGGCATGTCCACATAGATTAAGAAATAATTTTTTGAGTTGACTTTTAAGGATTGGAGCTCTCTTCTTTTCATAGGATGGACAAGACAAAATTCTGGTTCGACTAGATACAACTAGTCATCCATAATTGACATCCATAATTGTGGAATTTTTCACATCAATATAAATCCACTTTTGCAGATTACTTCTGAAAATCCAAGAAAACATTTTGAGTTCTTCAGAGTTCTTCTCTGTCTATTTCTCTCTTGTTTCTATTTTCGCAAAATACTTAAGAGTATAATCTCTTGGAGAACAACAACAATCTTCCTTCCCAACCTTCCTTTCCACCTTCAGGGAGGTTGAAATCTAATTCCCACCAAGGTGTCTCTTATTTCATGGCATGAATGGCATGACAATAAAGTACCTGCATACCTGGCTTCAAAAACATATTCAGAAGCTCATGGTTGCTCATCACCTTGGAGAGAGGTATCTTCTACTCATGAAATTTGCATTAATGACTTGGAAGAAGAGGTGGAAAGAATGCTTATCAAATTTGCAGATGACATAGAACCACCTGGGATAGCTAATGCTGTACTGAATGGAAATAATATTCAAGATGTTTTTGATAGGTTGGAATATGGGCTGAAATGAAGTAAAACTAACAGAGAAGAGTATTTAGTGTTTATTACACTTAAATCATAAACTTCAAATGAACAGATATAGAATGAGGGGGCTTGATTTAGTAATAGCATCTATGTAAAAGATCATAGCAGCTTATAGTTGGACCATTTCTTTGTCCCTGTTGTATAGTGATTTGGCTCACTGTATTGTTTTCTGTTTCTTCATGCTGTCCATCAAGTGGTCATCCAGATATTTTTTTTTCCAGATCAGTTCAAACCTGCCAGGTCATTTGATTAAAATACCTGTCATTGATCTCCTTTGCCTCCTGTTTCTAACTCAGGAATCTAAATAATTTTCTGGATTGTTTAAAAACATCCTCTCAAAATTTGAATTTCCTATTACAGATTTCATTTGAGTTGAGATATCTTTAAAACTTTCTGAAAGTTTTTTTACATTGCTCAAAAATCCTTGCCCAAGTAATATGTTCTTTCCTTTCTCCCCCTCCACTCCCAGTTTGTGTCACATGGAAAGACAGAGCCAGATGAAATTCTTACATTACCTCCAGCCATGAATTGAAATGGATAATTGTTTGGAATGTTCAATGTCTAAGTCAATATTCCTCAACCTTGGCAAATTTAAGACATGTGATCTTCTATTCCCAGAATTCTGGGAGTCAAAGTCCACACGTCTTAAAAGTTGCCAAGGTTAAGAAACTCTGGTCTAAGTTTTATTTGTCCACCAAAATGACCAGGCTTAGATCGAGTTTCTATTTGTCACACTAGATCTCCCTTTTATGTAATTTCTTATTCCTTGAAAGTCTGGTGTTAGAAATAAATGGGTATTAAACACCAGTTTTATATCCTAAAGTCCTCTGCTCGCAAATATTTCCTCACATAAATTAACAGTAAAGAGAATTGGTAACATATTTTCAAGAGTGGGATTTGCCTAATAATTTTTAATTGCTGAGATGTCTTGCCCAGAATATCATCTATGGACTTAGTTTCACCCCATCACCCCATTGTGGGTGATGATATCACCACCTCCTTTTTATCAAATCCTTCAGCAATCTCTTCTAAAAATTATGGTCATTTAATACAGGCAAGAAATATTATTTAACCAACGTGCTAGATTTATCAGGAAATTACCTTGAAATAAAGTACCATTCATCATCCTTTATCATTATCGTCTTATCCATGTTTTTAATTTTGCTCATTGTATGTGTGCATGTAAAATTATACTTTTTTTCTGAGTTGGTGAATTCAGAATATTATTAAGAATTATTGTAAGATTGTTAAGTACTTTGGATTTGATCCCCAAAAGGTCCTTCAGAGTGCAGCATTTAGGAAGAAAATGCAGCATCTCTCTAAAAATACTTTGAAGCTAATTCAAGAGCTGGTTTAAGCCCTATATGTCTTAGGCTGTTGGTATCGCAAGATCTATATAAATTGAGAATATAAAGAATGCCTGTTGTAGGTGTAGTAGGAGGAAGATCAAAAGTGGGCATTCCCTATGATGTTTCCCATCCTTTGGGATTGGCTAGAATGCCAAGAAAGTGATATTAATTTTTGAAACTATAATTAATATATATGTGTATTTCTTTTACCGTATATTGTGTTTTGTTTTTATTGCAATGGATTTGGTATACTGCTGGAATTGCCTTGATTGAAGCAATCAGGCAAGCAACCACATCGTTTCCTGAGAGCATGTGACAGCTGCAGAGGGTAGCTCCCTGTCCAGGAAAAGATACATGTGGTGCGACATTTGCACTCCAGAACAGCTTTTTGGAGTTGGGCCCACAGTGCTATGTAACTAACTACACTACTGATAATAGTCTATAATGAAATCAACCGAAGTAGGATTAGGACTTCTTTTGACTAAAAATGAATGCAAAGAAATAAAAGTCTTCGTGTGCAAAATAAAAGTGCAAAAAATAATAATTGCATTTTTAGATGAAAGGCATGCTTTGACTTTAAAGCATTTCCCCGTACTTGATATTTGCAACTCCTATTAATGTAACCAATGGTTGGGATAATGAGACTGTGGCCCATGAATCATGAAAATAGGAAGGAAGGAAGGAAGGAAGGAAGGAAGGAAGGAAGGAAGGAAGGAAGGAAAGAAAGAAAGAAAGAAAGAAAGAAAGAAAGAAAGAAAGAAAGAAAGAAAGAAAGAAAGAAAGAAAGAAAATACATCCAAAGAACTCGACATTGGAGAATGAAAGAACATAGAATGCTTTTAAGAGTATCCCCTTGTTTAAGTACAACATAACAGAATTCTACACACAGCTTACCACCTTGAGTTTTCTGATTGTTGAAGAGGATGACACCAACCTTTCAAGAAGTTTCTGAAGTCCTCATTAATGTGCTTGATCAAAGTCTTTCTTCCCATCTAATTATCATGCAAGATGGCTGGTCAAACATCTATTTTATCTTTTAATTTTATATGACCCTTCGGGATCTTTCCTATTCTTGAACCCAGTCTTTTGGATAAATTAAGTATTATCATGTTTTTTAATAAAGTAAGGATTATCATATTTCTTTCCACCCAAATGTTCTTTCCTTTTCAGTTCTTTGTACCATTACACCTGATTTTTCAACAGCAGCTCACACCATAATGCATCTCACCATCAAAGGCTATCAGACTGGCTTTGTTTTCCTAGTTGTCTTTTCCCCTCTTCCTCCTGTATGTGTTTTGCAAGCACAGAGATTTCTCTTGTTATTTAATGTTTGTGCAACACCTAATCATTGTAGACACACTGGTGATAGCTATAGTGGCAACAGCAATAATAGTGGCCATGGTACATAAATAGTGCTTCTATTGAGTCGGTATTCTGAAGAGCTAAACCTGGAGTAAGTTATCTTGTAATAATTTTGCGCACAGCTTGCATTGTGTAAAAAATAACAGAGCGCCCATATGTGTCTTTTTCTTAATTCTGTAACTGGTTTAACTTAACAGACACATTGAACACAGTGCCATACCAAAAAAAAAAAGAAAGAAAACAAAAAAGTGTATCCATTTAGCTAGTTTCATCAATTATGCCAATAAACACCATTACCCTGACACCTTCATGCCTACAATGATGGCCTTACTGGTGTGGTTAATAAAATTTTGATAGATATATTATCTGAAGTCATGATATTGGCAAGAGCATCTTCCTCCTTGGAGCAGGAATCTATGGCTAATGATAGAATAGAGAAGATTAATTTACTCTGAGGCTGGGCTTTTGATTTCTGGAAAGCTAGGGGATGGGATGGCAATGATGATACTATCATTACTGCTACTACCACTACTACTACTACAAATTGTCTAGTAGGAGTTTTTGCAATGCTTCGCTAGCTGCCTTGTCAGAAGCTTAGCTGGCATTATAAAAATAGAGGAAAAACAGGGAGAAAGTGGCTTGCCCGAGAATCTTATCCCCCTAAAAGGGAAGTTGGATGCCAAATTGAAATTCCTGCAGGATTTCTGATAGCAGTGAGGGAATTGAGAAGCCCACAATTAAGCATATGGGCATTAAGATAATTGTCAGATCTGTTGGCGGACATGATAGAAGACAGATGGGTACGAATCAGCCTCTCTACTGCAGCACCCTGGGAGAGACAATTTGATGTTTTACCTGCCTGAGCTCCTTTGCTGTGTTTGTCACTAAACGTGCTGCACAGCGCCTTACTGACTGTTAAGTGGGGGGTTTTTTTTGTGTGTGTGTGTATATATATATATATATACAATATATACCTATGACAGTGCCTCGGCGCCCTCTAGTGAAAAGCTGCAAGGAAATCTTGCCATAATGTTTAAATGCCTGGGTTTGTTTCCAGTATCTCCCCAAGTTATTAATACGAAACCCAACGGCTTCTTGGCTTGTTTAGCTTAAAATGGTCCTCTTTACATGTTTCCTTCTTTCCTCCTCTTGCAGGTTGGGGCTCATCGTGAAGATGCAGTTGGCCTCCGCGGCAGCCATTCGCTTGTGCCAAACCAAGTTCCTGTTCCACAGCTGCCAGTGCAGTCTGCAACATCTCCTGACTTAAACCAGCCTCAGGATCCTTACCGAGGTACGTACAACAGCACTGCTTGGGCCTGTGCCTTGATCTATATAATTTATACTACCCAATCTATGACAGCAGGTTTCAAATGTCAGGATGGTTGTGTGGGACGAGTGGACTTGTTCTTTATTCAAGCCACCTCCCATCTATCTCCCTATAGATCAGTGTTTCTCAACCTTGGCAATTTTAAGGCATGTGGACTTCAACTCCCAGAATTCCACAGCCAGCAATGCTGGCTGTGGAATTCTGGGAGTTGAAGTCCACATGCCTTAAAATTGTCAAGGTTGAGAAACACTGCTATAGATGGAGAGGTAAACAGATGACAGCTCGCCAGATGAGTTATAATGTGGCTTGTTATAAATTATACAACTTATTACATAAATTATTAAAGATGGTATGTTAACCTAATATCCCGGTGTGCACAATCATATTTATTTAGCTCTACACTTAAATAATTCTTTCTGAAACACAATGAAGTCTTCGCAAAATTGCCTCACATTGAAATTGGGATTAAAACAAAGCAGAATATTGATTGTTTCATTGAATGATTGGATAAAATGTAATAATCATGCCACCATCAAGACATCTGGGAAGGTTGCAGATGGTGATTGCCTGACTGTAGGATATTGCAGTTGTCGTAAGTGCAAGATGGTTGCCAAACACCCAGCTTGCAATCACATGACTGCAGGCATTCTGCCATGATCATAAGTGACGGCCGATTGTAAGTCACGTTTTTCAGCACTGTTGTAACTTTGAATGGTTATACGTCAAGGCCTGCCCGTAGGACTTTCAAAGGGAGCTGAAGCAGACAAACAGGACTGCAATTTGTGGTGGGGTGTTGATGGGAACTGTTTGTTTTCCCGTTGTTGGGGCTGCCTCTCTACATCCTAGTCAAAATGGTGGGAAATAATGTTGCTGAATATTAACCATTGGTAGCTACAGAAGAGAAACCATTCGATCCATAGCTTTCCCATACTTGCTGTAGATCAGGGGTAGGCAACCTTGGCTCTTTTATGACTCGTGGACTTCAACTCCCAGAATTCCTGAGTCAGCATGGTTCAGCATGGAAACCTCTCTCTTTCCCCTCAGCATGGCTGGCTCAGGAATTCTGGGAGTTGAAGTCCACGTGTCATAAAAGAGCCAAGGTTGCCTACCCCTGCTCTAGAAGAACAAATAGGAATTACCTAATTTCCAGTTTTCCCTAACATTTTTACTACTCCAAACCAGCCAGTCTACTCCATAGATAAAAATGCTGGGATTGTTCCAGAAGAACAGGCACAAATGAAACTGCTGAGGGACTTGTTTACAAAAAGAGATTACTTTATTCAAGGAAAGTGCTGTAGAACAGCGGTTCTCAAGCTAGTTGAGGACAGCAGTGGTGGTGGTGGTGGTGGTTGTTACCTTACTTTACTTTTAAATGTTGGGGGAAATATTCTCACTCGCTTTCAGCGAGTTCTTCTTGTTCTTTTGGGGATTATCAGATGATGAGAGGATTAAGGAGTACAAAACGGAAAAAAAATACACACATGTGCATTGACCATGACTTCGTGAAACCCACTTTCAATGTTAAAGAAAGAAAGCAACAGTAATAGAATACGAAGTGTCTGTTCATCTCTAGCTATAGCTCTGGAACTTTCCTAAGTAAAATGTGAGAAATACTCATGGAAGACTTTTCTTACATGAGGTGCCTCTCTTCTTTTTGTCCTTCCCTAGAAAAGAGCAGAAAGAAACAAGCGTACTTCTAGCCAAAATACTGCTCCTACCACAAACTGTACACCAGAGACAGCTGGAAAAATGTTTTTAATAGGAAACTATTTTTTCTTTAAAAACAATTTTTTATTTATTTATTTTATTTATTTATTTTTGTTTTTTAATAGTTTTCTTTTGAAACTATTTAAAAATAGCTTTAAAAGAGTCGTGGTGGCGCAGTGGTTAGAATGCAGTATTACAGACTAACTCTGCCCATTGCCAAAAGTTTGATCCTGACCAGCTCAGGGTTGATTCAGCCTTCCATCCTTCCGAAGACGGAAAATGAGGACCCGGATTGTTGGGTCAATATGCTGACTCTGTAAACCGCTTAGAGAGTGCTGGAAAGCACTATGGAGCCATATATAAATCTAAGTGCTATTGCTATTGCTATTTAATAACTTTCATTAAATGGATTTTATTTTTTTTATTTTTATTTTTTTTGCAACACAAGTAGGTTGTTAATGTAGCACCCACACAATTCTTAAACCTTTTTGCTATTTGTGATATGCATGTTCATACACGTTTGTACAAATGCCCGCATACAGACCTATCCTTTTGTTTATATCTGCACAGGCATGCCAACTGGACTTCAAGGGCAAAGCATATCTTCAGGGAGTTCTGAAATCAAATCTGATGATGAAGGAGATGAGAACCTTCAGGATGGAAAATCTTCCGACGACAAGAAAGACGATGACAAGAAGGATATCAAATCAATTACTAGGTCAAGATCTAGGTAACCGTATATAATAGTGTCGCTTCATTTAATTCCTTTAGTGGATTTTGATGAAGTGAACAGAGCAGGAAGAAACTCTGGAGTTTTTTTCCCTGCTGGTTAAAATCAGACAAGAAACTCATAGCCTTTTCTGGAAGTACTAAAGAGTATCTGTTTGGATGCGTGTACTCCAGAATGGCTGAATTTGGGGAAAGGACGAAAATTTAGGCAGAACTGTACGGACAGAGCTATATAGGCTTAGGTTGGAGCTGGTTTCAGTGGTCTGATGTACATATGAAAACAACACAGAGACAAAAATTTTAAGCAGATGCCATTTTTGTAATAATTATCTTTCCCAGTGGAATAGACATGCTCCTATTTTTTTTTTAAAGAACATAACTGTAATCATAACTGTAAACTGGATAAATCAGGGTAGCTTGTCCAATTTAAGAAGAAGTAATTTTTAAGATGATCTAAGGCACATTGCCAAGGTTTGGAAAGAAGCTGAATAAATTCATCAACTCTTGTTCCCAATAATAATTTGGAACCCTTATGTAGACCATTGTTTCTTGCTTACCGGCATTGATGACCACAGTATGCAAGATTCTTCTTTCATTACCACTGACCCTTATTTTCTGCCTTATGTTCTTCATAAAATATATTGATTTCATCAGCAAGAATGCTTCTGAACCCATCTTCTATTACATTCAGATTTTTGTCTGAATGACAGAATGGTTGTTGAGTATTAAATAAACTAAATTCTCCTTGTGTGTGGATTTTATGAAATGTAGTGGAATACAGAGAAGTCTCAGAAAAATTTAATTTAATAGAAACCACTTTGCACTTAGAATAACATTTTGCTTCTCCAGCATGCAACTATTTCAATCTCTTGCATTCAGTGGCTGAAGGAATCAGTAATTCAGGCAAGAACTATGAAATAGCCTTGAGAGATTCCCTGATGCCTGAATGCATAAAAATTGTATTTTAATTTCTACGTGTGTAAAATACTACATGATATAAATCCTCATAATGCAGCAGACCTAATGCCAAAGAAGTGCTTTTCAGTAGACTGTAAGAAGTATCTGCAAGGAACTTCACTAGATCTCGTTACCGGTCCCAGCCAATCCAAAACTTTTATAGTTTTATAAACTTCCTGGTGTTCGCGCATTTCATGCCAGCTAATATGAGTTTACCCAGGAATCACCTTTCTGTTTTTAGTACTCTTAAAAATATATATAACTGTATAATTAAACCAGTTTAATTCAGATTGGTTAATGCTATTGTCAAATATTAACTGCTCATATTTATTGCATGTATGTTGATTGATTGATTCTTGCTTTCAAGTATGCTCTGAGCATGAAGGAAAAATACAAATTGGAAAATAAAACCCACCAATCATCATTTCCATCATCATCTAGCTAGATCCTAGAATGTCTTTGGGTTATACTAGTTTTTCTCTCAACTGGCTGTCTGTGGACTATACTTCATTACACAAATACAGAAATTAAATAAATAAATAGAAGTTCTGCATCCAGTTTTCCAGGGAAAAGGCAACACTACATGGACAAAGGCCAATTTGGTTTCTGATATTGCTCATTATCAATAGAAAACAACATTTGTAGGTCAGGGTGGGACTGTGGGGTCCTTAATAATCTATGAGCTTGGTTGTGTTCTTGCAGACGTTTCATTATCTGACTAGGTAGCATCATCAGTGCAATGCACTAGAGAGCCAGATGGGTCTAGCGGTTAAGGCACCAGACTAGAAAATGGCAGATCAAGTCCTGCCTTAGCCATGAAAGCTAACTGGGTGTCTTTGGGCCAGTCACTCTCTCTTTCAGCGGTTGTGGAGAAGGAGATGGAAGATATGTTGGATATGTTCACCACCTTGAACTATTTGTAAAATAATAAAAGTGGGATACAAATAAATAGCAAGAAGACTACAAGAAAATATTAGAGAGCATCAAGGACTCCACATTACTTATTATCCTTCTACTAACTTCCTAAATACACTATACATTTTGTTCCTTAATAAGCAGCATAATTTGTGGCATTTGAAGGAACATATCATTCACTGCAGACACAAACAATTATAGTTATGTCATTTACAAATGAGCCATAAAGCTCAAGGCATCAAATAATAATAATAATAATAATAATTAATAATAATAATAATAATAATAATAATAATAATAATAATAATAATAATAATAATAATAATAGATGATGATGATGATGATGATGATAAAGTTGGAAGGGACCTTGGAGGTCATCTAGTCCAACCCCCTGCTCAGGCAGGAAACCCTATACCATTTCGGACAAATGGCTGTCCAGTTTCTTCTTAAAAACTTCCAGTGTTGGTGCGTTCACCACTTCTGGAGGCAGGTTGTTCCACTGGTTAATTGTTGTAACTGTTTGGAAGTTTCTCCTTAGTTCTAGGTTGCTTCTCTCTTTGGTTAGTTTCCACCCGTTGCTTCTTGTCCTGCCTTCAGGTGCTTTGGAAAATAGCTTGACTCCCTCTTCTTTGTGGCAGCCCCTGAGATATATAATAATAGTAATAATAGTAATAATATGGAAGGGACCTTGGAGGTCATCTAGTCCAAACCCCTGCTCAGGCAGGAAACCCTATACTATTTCAGACAAATGGCTGTCCAGTCTTTTCTTAAAAATTTCCAGTGTTGGAGCATTCACAGCTTCTGGAGGCAGGTTGTTCCACTGATTAATTGTTCTGTCAGGAAATTTCTCCTTAGTTCTAGGTAGCTTCTCTTTTTGGTTAGTTTCCATCCGTTGCTTCTTGTCCTGCCTTCAGGTGCTTTCGAAAATAGCTTGACTCCCTCTTCTTTGTGGCAGCCCCTGAGATATTGGAACACTGCTATCATGTCCCCCCTCGTCCTTCTCTTCATTAAACTAGACATACCCAATTCCAGCAACCGTTCTTTATATGCTTTAGCCTCCAGTCCCCTAATCATCTTTGTCGCTCTTCTCTGTACTCTTTCTAGCGTCTCAACATCTTTTTTACATCGTGGTGACCAAAACTCGTGGTGATCATATCTCCTTCCAAGCCCACACTTCAACTCCACCATACCTCCTTGGGGTAGCTCTCCCTGAAGTACAGTTAGTGATCTAAAGTCTTTCAGTGAACTGTATGGCTGAGTGTATATTTCAGTCTTCCTTAGGTTAGTGCTTATCTATATGCAGACTTCCCTAATATAGAATTGCCATTTCTGATTGTCACTGGCATATCAAAAGCAAAGAGAAAGAGCCATAGGTTAGCAAGTATCATTATTTCCAACTTTGCCTTTTTGCTTTGGATTTTAGCAGGCTCTGTACAAAGTTTTACATCATTCAGACATTTTGAGATATCTGAGTTAGCTGCAGGCTAAATTACCTGTTTAGCATAATATAAAAATCATACAGAGGAAAAAAGATAAACACTAAGGTTAATAATAACTAAGATCACTGTGTATGTGTGTGTGTGTGTGTGTGTAAAAGCATGTGCATGTATTTAAACAGCAACCTTAATTCTTGTTTTAATGTATTTTACCTATTAGAGCTTTTCAGTGCCTTGGGTTTAATTCCAGAAAGATTTTTCAGAGTGCATAGAGGCACACTCATGGCATCTGATTGCATCCTGTTAAGCAGATGTGTCTTTCCAACTATCCTGGAATAATATGTTGATGCTTTAAAGGGCTGCAGAGAAAGGATACCCTTGTATTCTCATGCATTCTGAAGCACATTTTTGGCATCAAATTTTAAGACCTGTAGAAACAAAATTAATTGTATTCTTTTTTTTAATCAATGCAGTCAATTTAGACATCTCTGCTAACTCCAACTTTAGCAGTCATTCATCCATTGTAGGAAACAAAGTATCCTTCCATTTTTGTGCATACAATTTTCTTGCTGCTGTCAGCATACATTTCCAATTTCTTTTTCAAGTTCTTTATCCATTCAGCCCAAGAGAAAAATCTCTGGTTTTATCTAGAACGATTGTGGATCAATTTCTTGAATATATCAAAAGTCATGCTATAGTTGTAGCTATATACTGCTTATTACATTCAATATGACAGATACCAATGAAACTATGTATTGGCATGTATGTTTTTTTTTAAAGTAAAACATTTTGTTCATTCAGATTTAGTTGGCCTTCTGCCATACTATTCAATGCAGCTAAAGTTTTACATTCCTATGTTCCTTTTAGCCAGACTCATACTTTGAAAGAGAGTAACATGTTGATAAAACACCTGAAATTTCAATCCCATTAGAAAATATTGTGCTATGTTTCCTTCTCAGCAATAATGATGACGAAGATCTTACTCCGGAACAAAAAGCAGAGCGCGAGAAAGAAAGAAGAATGGCCAACAATGCCCGTGAGCGCCTGCGTGTCCGTGACATCAACGAGGCTTTCAAAGAGCTGGGCCGGATGGTGCAGCTCCATCTAAAAAGCGACAAGCCCCAGACCAAACTTTTGATCTTACATCAAGCTGTAGCAGTTATCCTCAGTTTAGAGCAGCAAGTCAGAGGTGAGTTAAGGCTGATTTTATCCAGTCATTCTGCAAATCTCAATCTCATTCAGATGTTTTGAAGAAAGACTGGACACCTTTGATCTTGGGAATGTGGTATGGATTTCTGTGTTTCACTAATGATGCAGGGATGGATTAGATGCCTCCCGGTCATAACGATGCTTTGTTAAAACCTTGGTCTGAGCTCATACAGGCCAGGGCATCACTGTGCTATGTAAACTGCTATGAAAGGATCGTCCTTCTGTTACAAAGTGGTATAATTGAAATGACTAACCTTGAAATTTAGTCTGCATAAGACAGGCTGGTCTTGCTAAAAAAAAAAAAGTTTGGATCCCAAGAAGCAAGTCCCTGATTATAAGTCATTTATAATTCAGTTATAAGATGGGGGCATTACGTGTTGGAAGTGGTTAGTGGACTAGGAAGAACATCATCTCATAGTATTCTGGTTTTAACTTATTCAATTTCTATTTATTTCATTTTTAATTTTTGTAGCTGTGTTATTTTATGACATTTGTAAGCCGCCCAGAATCACATGACAGTGAGATAGGCGGCATATAAATTTAATAAAGGAATAAAATGAAATAAGTCCGTATCACAAAATTCATTGTGAATTATGTTGTCAGTCCAGTCCAGTGATTAGTATTACTCCAAACCCCTAAGGTGGTTAGTATGTTTAGTAGATAAATTATGTTGTACATCAAGCAACTGGGGTCCCAGAGCTAAGTTGCAGTGATTGAAATAACTTTAAAATTCTAATTTGAAGTAACAGTTGTTCAGAAATGCAGGTGAATCTCTGTCTTGGATATCACACATTGAGATGGACAAGGTTTGGAGATGAAATGAAGATTATTTTTAAGTGGGAAATTAGCCAGAGAAACGAGATTCAGAGAATCAAAATTCTTTCTCAGTATAATGGAGATTCCTGGCCAGTTGAAGGAAATGACAGCAGGATGAGCAAGATGTTATACTTGAACGCACAAAGTAGCTAGGCCACAGGCTTTAAAGTTTGTTTAATGTTATCTTACATTTTGGCTTCACAGAAAGAAATCTGAATCCTAAAGCAGCATGTTTGAAAAGAAGGGAAGAAGAAAAAGTATCTTCGGAGCCTCCTCCACTTTCTTTGGCAGGACCCCACCCTGGGATGGGAGACACATCTAATCACATGGGGCAGATGTAAACAAAAGGAAAAAAGGTACGCACATCTTGACCAGTCTCCTCATAGTAGTAATAATAATAATACCATGGCTATTAGTTTCTTTAGAACAATTATAATTAGGGGAATTAACATCTAAAGACTATTTCTTTCCATGAGAGCCAGTTTGGTGCAGAAACCAGGAGACCGTGAGTTCTAGTTCCACCTTAGATACAAAGCTCACATTGACAGCCATTTGCAGCATCCTGTGATCTGTTTGCCATGTTTTTTTTTTTTTAGTTGCTAGACTTTTTTGCAGGTTTCTGGCAAAAAAACACCCATTCAGGAGAGTAGATTCAGACTTACAGTAAAATGATTTGCTTAATGACCACATGTTTTGGACATAGGAACACATGATTCATTTATCAACTGCTGTAAAATGGTGGAAAAACCTATGACCATAACAATATACAACTGAAATTCTGGTCACAGTTGTGGTAGTAACTATCTGTAGTCTCTTTTTCTCAGCCCTAGGAGGAAAAAGTTAAAGATAAACCATTTCCAAAATCTTGCTAACAAAACTGCAGGGACACTGCAGGCAGTCAAGATTGACTAAATCAAAAACTTTCCATAGTCGTCAATTCTATAGATAAGAATCTTTTTTTATTCAATATTATGTTTCTTCTTAATTTAATACCTCACGTGAATTGTTTTTGCTACATTCTATTTTATTTGTTAGCTTCTCTTTTTTTTCTTAATTATGTGAACAACCAACTCCACCCCCTCACCCAAGTCATGTCTTTATATCTCTTTATTTATTGCTTTGCATTTTCTCATATGGGTTGAAGTGTAAATAGTGAGCAGAAGAAATCTAGACCAGATCAGACATGATCACAAATTAGGGATGTGTTTGCTTCTCTTGTTGCGTAGCATGAAAATACTTAACGAACATGGAAAACACGGCTACAAAAGGTTGGCTACACACATTGGATCCTGCCTGCATTCTGATACACAGTGATAAATAACTGCCAATTTGAATTTGAATTTATTCAATGTTCCCCAAATTGCCCAAAACTCTTCATAAAAATGTTCTTCTTATATGACATAATGGGAATAGATTTATATGTCAGGACTGAGTCACTACCAGATAACTACCAAATGAGTTACAGGAAATTCAGAGGATTTTATAGATGAGGAACAAGAAGAAGGAAGCTAAATCCATTATATTTACCTGAATTTCTTTACTGAAGGAAATTTGTTTAATGACCATTCAAAGTTACAACAGCACTGAAAAAAAGGGTGTTATGACCAGTTTTCACAGTTATTACCGTTGCAGCATCCTCATGGTCACGTGATCAAAATTCGGGCACTTGGCATCTGGCATGTATTATGACAGTTGCACTGTCCCGGAGTCATGTCACCATTTGTAACCTTCCCAGCTGGCTTCCAACAAGCAAAGTCAATTGGGGAAGCCAGATTTGCTTAACAACTGCATGATTCACTTAACAATGCATTGACCTTGCTTAACAATGGTGGCAAAAAGGTCAAAAAAATGGAGCACCACTCAGTTAATAATTGCCTTGCTTAGCAACAGAAATTTTGGGCTCAGTTGTGGTCATAAGTCAAAGACTACCTGTATTTTGTTTTATTTATTCATTTATTTAGTTTATTCTGCCCAAAGTCACTCAACTGCGTTTCAGGCCTAAGGCGGAACTAGAACTCAGTCTCCTGGTGAATGGCCCAACATCACCTAGCTGGCTTTTGTGCCTAAGGCAGGACTACAACTCACATTCTCCTGGCTTCTAGCCTTAACCACTAGACCCAACCGTCTTGTAAGGATTTAAGCATACTTGTAAGCATACACTCAGTCAGCTTATTCTGCCTCTGTATTTTGAACCCGAAGTGTGAAAATCTTCCACATGTCTTCAAAAGGGTAATAAGTCTCTTCATCTGGGTGATAGAGTAAGAATTGTTGAGAAACAGCTTCAGAAGCCTTTTTTTATGCTAAATATGTTGTTATGAAAAAAAAATTAAGAATAATCAAGATGATTGCATTTTGGCTGATCGAAAATTTTTCCACTTCTTTCACAGGTCCAAGTTGCCACATTTTCTTCACGTAAACCAGAGACCACTTCCTTAAACAGCTGTATTATCTTAAAAACATATAAACACTTAACCCTCCCCCCCTTTTTTTGTAATATAATGAGACAAGTCTGAGTAGTTACGAATCACAGACGCAAGAGATTTCAGCATTCCTGATTTTGAAATAAAGAAAAAGTGCAACTTGAGGGACACCTCTTATCAACATATCATTCGGAGTGTTTCAAGCAGTATGTTGACAAGCTGTAAATGCACAGCCAGGAGACTGAATGGCAATCTTCTCCACACTGTGGGACAATGCATTTGTGCCTAAACTTCTTTTGGAAAAAAAAATATAATTAATTTGTAAGTCTGAAAAAAAAAATATTTAATTTAAAAATTGTAAACTTGCAATAATGAAAAGTGTACTTCTGAAGAAAAAAAAATGAACGTTTTCATTGGTGTACTAGTCAGCTAGTGTTTATACTTACTGGATATTAAAAAGGGAAGCACTGCTACCCTAATATTTACAAAACCAGCAAACGTCCTAATGAAAACTGAAGTAATGACATTAGCCATTCCTTAGGGTAGGAGGAACAGATGGATCTTATAGACCTATGACAAATACAAAACACATGGACACAAACACACATATATAAATATTATATAAATATATATATAAATATATATATATTAAAATTAGTGAATATGGTAAGCTTTGTTCATTTGTTTCTGACTTTTTGCTCCTGTAAAAAAAAAAAGTACTGATTAACTTTTTTTAAGAAAAAAGATTTTACTGTAAATAAGTTTTGTTTCTGTTGACGTCTTCTTTCTCTTCCCCCATGGCCCCCTCAGTTCCTTATTGTAACCTGTAGTGCCAACTCTGTTGCTGGAGGGGCCGTCCAGGATGAACTATCCCCCCCCCCCCGAGGTTGCTTATTATGCATACAGAAAAGTAGCCAGTGATCTCTTGAGTCCTTTGGGGAAAATACGGGACTAGATAAGGTATGTCTCATGTTGATAAGCATAAGCAGCATTGCTGAGACCTCCAACCCCCCAAAGCAGATGGGGACTATGGTTTCCCAGAATGCTGGGGTATGGGTTAGGAATCCTGTGGGGCTCTAGTCCCTACCCTACAGTCAACACGAGTTTGGAAAAAAGAAATGGCCCAGGCAATCGAATTTTGGGGTGGAGGGATGGAGAATTCCAAATCATAACTCTTGCTCTCATTAGACCCTATTTCTAAGATTTTCAGAGGTACAAGGTTAGAATGCTACAATGTTACCACTGTGCCTTCCAATGTTTATATCATCAAAAAAATGTAACATAATCAAAGGTGGCTGTGATTTAACAAACCAGTAGAAATGTTAAATTAATGTGTGTAGCTTAAATACAATATGCATCAAGGCATTTCAGAATACATGGTCAAAGGCGGGGTGGGGGGCAGTTGCTAGTTGTATGAGAGTTTGATTTGAAAAAGAACATTTTAAAGGGTGTTCCTGAAATATAGACCATATACTGCCTCCTCCATTCATTAAAAAAAAATGCCAATATCCAACCGTTACACAGCATTAGAACAAGCCTTACCCGTTCTAAAGCATTAAGTTGCACTTTCTTAAGGAGGAGGGAGTAGAACAGTATTTTTCTGGCCAGTATGATCCAAGTTTTTACTTAACACATATACATTATAGCAAGTATAGATCAAGCTTACAACAGCAACTCATCCAGTAATTGGATTTCAGGGCATCTAAGCCCACAGTGAATCTTCCAAAGATTTACTTTGGGACACAGAACAATTAACTGACATTGCTCCCAGTTCAGTCTTTGTCAGCATCTTTTTGTCTCTGGTTCAAGCTCCTGGTTTTTTTTTTTTAAATAAAAATAGCCACGCAAACTTGGCATGTTATTTTTAAATGGAATCTCCCTGTTTGAATAGATTTTTCCACCTATCAGCACTGAGTAAATGCCATATACCGATTGAAAATGGTCTAGACCTTCCATCTGTTCTCCTGTTTTGCCAGTTACATAGTAATGAAAAAAAAATACATTTGTAAATTTTATGCAACAAAATGGCAAACGTATCATTATTTTGAAATTGTGTATGTAAAAGTTATATTTTTACATGTAGACTCTTGTTATTATGTGTTTTAATACATTGTATCAAACTTTTGTTTTTTTTAACTGTGTGGTTGAAACAAAATCTCATTTAAATGAAATAGTGAGAAATAAGAATCTTAATTTTATGTTACTGAAAAACATAAAGAACAAATGTGGTAGTTTACCATGTGAACCGCCCTCTCCATATCCATAAACATTTTGATTACCTGTGTGTGTTGAAAATTGTAAATATGTTCAGTAGCAGTAAAACTTTTAAAAATACTATTATTTGTTAATAAGTTTCTCAAATGTGGAGGTGGATTAAGCTCATAAAAGAGCAGAGTCTATATAAGTTGAAATCAGAACAAGAAACGACTATATCATTGCAGATGCCATACTTCTAATAGAGTATGTTTAGATGAAAATGTTTGTCTTAAACCTAATTTTTTTAGTACTGGTATTCTAAATATTGGAGGATTCTCTTTTAATTGACAAGTTATTAATATAGTTTAGGATTAAAGTTTTTTTTTTATAAAAAACAATTCTAATACTTTTAATGGGAAGTTGTTATTTCAGAGGATAATTTTATGCTAAAAAACCTGGATAAATCAAAGAGGCGTTAACTTTCATCTTGATGTCCTCAGTGTGAGCATTTCTGCTTGTTTGTATTAATAATGCAAAGATTTCAAATAGTCTGTTCTGAATATAAAACTAATTTGGATAAGAGAGCTATCAATGCAAAATCAAAATGCCGTCTTTTTAATAATTGCCCAAATTGATGACATTGTATGAATCTCGAAACATTCACAGTCACAGAACATTGATAAAAGGATGGTTTTCATTACTGGCCATTCAGTACTTTCTTACAGCAGACATGATTCTAAACAGGAATGAAAATGGTGATGTACATAGACCCAATAGAGGCTTAGTTGTTTATAAAACGGTAATCTATTCTCTGTGGTTTTGGACGTGGTTTCCTGTTCCATAATGGAATTTAAACTTGAAAATTAACCAGTCATGCTGTTTTGTGTTGTTCACCCTCCCCTCTCCTCTGCTTGCTTTAATTTAGTGTGTGATCCTAAAAAATAAGACATCAAGAATTGCTTAACTTTCACTGCTGCTGCCCACAGTGGGAGTTGTCACTTGTTAAAAGATCTGGTAATGACTTGAGTTTAACGACCAAGAGGTAGAAGTGTGCAAGTTGTTTCAAATTTGAAGCGTTCCATATATTCTGCAAGTCCTTTCAGCTCGAAGCAAAGCACCGCGTGAGATTTTGAGATGCTTCCGTGATTGTCAGCAAATCCAGCAGACTTGGAGTGCTTTGCACACTCATACAAAGGAGAAACCACACATTGTACAGTAATAAACAGTACTTGGACACTACATTGTAGAAATTTATCCAACAGTTAATGAATGATCCACCTCCACATTCAAGTAATTTATGAATACACAGATTAAGGAAATCTGTTCGTCTAGAATTTTTTTTATTTTATTTTTTATTTTTACATTTGTCTTATGTGCAGCTGCAAAGAACACTAATGTTTATACAACTGTCAGTTCAACCAGTGATGCAACTTGTATTGATGCAGTCTTCCGATTTGTTTTATTCGTTGATTTCATTGGAAGGGTGGGGACGGGTGGGGATAGAGGGGGAGAAATGCGGAGCAATTTCCAATTTTCATTGTTCTGTTCAACAGGCACAGTGCAACCTGTGTCAGACTGTGAACAATAATAGTACATTGCCACAAATGGAGAGAATTTTATCGGGTGAGGAAAAAGCACAAATCAAGCTTAATCCACTGACTGATACAAGAAGGAAAAAAAATGATTTTCTAAAAACGAAATACAATGAATTCCAACACAGTGGGGGCACCAAGATTTATTTTCTTTCTTTCTTTCTTTCTTTCTTTCTTTCTTTCTTTCTTTCTTTCTTTCTTTCTTTCTTTCTTTCTTTCTTTCTTTCTTTCTCTTTTTTCATTTTTCTAGCATCTTCTCATGCGACTTGAAATTGATTCACCTTTGTGCAGTGCTGGTTTGACCATACTCATTTCAAGTATTATAGACTTATGTAATGGTGAAAATATATGAACTGTGGCCTTTTTCATTCTTGTTACTTGTGATGCAACTAAGTGAAGATACGGAAAAGCAGAGATTTACCATGTATCAGTGCCTGCCTTTTTGTTACAAAGCTTTGTTTGTCTAGTGACCTTTTTGCTATAAAATAGACTAGTACACCCAAGTAGGATAAAAGAAAAGCCTAAATTTAAAAAAAAATATATTTGGCTTATTTTTCACAGGAGCAATCCTTTTATACCACGAATATTGGGGGCGGAGGGGGTGGGACAGGGGTTGTCAGATTCTGAATATTTCTTCTTTGTAGATGTTTGGAATCCTTCTAAGTAAAAGTTTGTTACTTTATTTTACTATTTAAAAGATGTTATTTTACATATGTGTTACCAAGATGAAATTGTATGATAGCTTCTTTTTTTCTTCTGTTTTTTTTTCCTTATTTCTTTATCTTTTTTTTTTTAAGTTGGAGGTCGCAGTGGGGAACTTTTTTTTTGCGACTGTCTCCATAGCTGCAACATTTAAAAAGAAAAAAAAATTAAATAAAAAAGGGAAAAAAACGATAAAAGGGACAAAAAGAAAAAGAAAACAACAGTTACACTTTGTTTTTCAACGTGTGGCTGAGTGCCTCAATATTTTTTTTCTCCCATGTTTTTGGTGTATTTCTGATTTGTAGAAGTGTCTATAAACAGGTTGTGGGCTGGAGATCCCTGAAGGCGAAACACACAGCTTGCTGTAGACCTTTATGTTTCCCATTTGTAGTTATTTGATGCCGTCATGTACATGACTGTTCTGTAGCAATAAATGTGCCATTTTTATAAACTGTTTCTGACACTTTCGTTTCATTTCATTTTGCATTGTCCATTTCTGTAGGTATCACAAGGAGTACTGCCTAGGAATGACCTAATAGGTGGCGCTGTCATCCACACTCCCAACTTCAAAAGCAATGGGTTTTAAAGTGCCCTTGGTGTTCTCGGAAGTGCTCCATTCCAGATGATGTGTAAAACTGAAGTTGTGATCACCCGAGTTCCTCTCAGAATATGATTCCTTCTAGAGGCCTCTTCACTTTTTTGCACTGGGTAGTTGATTAAAAATCTACTTTCTGGACATAACTGTAAAAGCACATGTCCTTCTTGGCCTACGCAGTTGTGTATCATAGCTATGCATTGTAATATAGTTGTTGATCTGGCCCACCTTTGGCTTGAATTTCAACAGGTGGAGCAAATTGTTTGTAATTCCTCTGTAAAGTTCTTTTTTTCTGAATGAAAGGTGCTACATACATGTAAAATTGCATTCATGACCATCAATTTCTGTAAATACAGCACCTGTATTTTAATGGAAAACTGTTATGTACGTATGAGATAACTGAATGCACCTATGAGCAATGGACAAACATCAAGAAGGTGCTAATCTGTATGCAAAAATAAACTGAACTATTAGAAAAAATAAGGATTAATCTATTAAATTTATAGCTTGGAGCAATTATAAAGTCACACATAAAACTTCTGTTGATCACCATCTTTAATACTTTCATGTACCAGTTGAGATCAGCTTTGTATTTTTAGGCAGAACTGGCT